TCTTCCTGGATTTCGCAAGTCACATTCCGCTTCTGATGCTGGTGCAGAATGTATGGTACTTCTAAGTTGTAGACTTCTTTCTTCTGATGCTTTTGATTGTAGAGTTTCTTAGCATCGATTTCCATCTCATCATCTTCTGAAGGTAGTGGGAAAATCCTTGTCCATTTTGCCGTTTGTTCCTCATAGTAACGGTCTCTCTTCCTCTTGCTAATTGCCTTCCACTCCGGGTGGTACTTGGTAAAGTCTAGGCCAACGTTTCCGTAGACTACTTTTCCTAGGACTACATCACCGCTGGGTTTTAGTTCCGTCCCCTTTACATACATCTCATATGCGTCTACTACATTCGCATATTCCATTTGGTATTGGTAGAAGTTTCTACAGCCATTGCTGTGGGCACTGTACTTTAGTTCTTCATAGAGGGTCTTCTTTTCTTGGTAATAAACTTCTTCTTCGTGTCTTGAAGCACACTTAGAGCATCTTATCCTATAATCGTCTTGGTCTTCTGGTATGTATGCAGGTATACATTGGTCTGGTTTTGGGCCTTTTTCGCATTTCCAGTTTGGATTGGGGTCTAAATCCATCTGTTCTATGACGTTGACTGAGCGAGTGTTCATTTCCTTCTTTTCTACCAGAGGTACTGATTCTGTCATTCCGTCTTCTCTATTTAGAACAAGCTTTTTCTTTGCTAGATCGAACTTTGCATTATATCTGAAGAGGAAATTCGTGCCTAATATTATGTCTGCTGTTGCTGCTTCTGTTATACACGCATTTAGTCCCCATGTTGGTCCGTTTTCTTGAATCTTAGTGGTAAGTTCTTCACTTCTCCTCTAGGTTGTTCTCTATGTCCTGTTACTCCTTGTATCTGATAGTTTGAACTTTCAAGGATAGGTTTCTTCTTCATTCTTCCAGTGATAAGATCGAAATGTTCACTAGAAATTATTGTCACTGAGGATCCAGTATCGACTAGAATCCTACTCTCCACTTCCTCTACAAAAGCGCTACAATATGTAGGTCCTGAAACGTCAGAGTCCCCATACTGCTTTGCTCCATGCGAGGGTCTTATTCGATTGCCACTGTCAGAGCCCTCTACTGACGTGGCTGACCTTTTCCCTGTCCTTGATTGTTCTTTCTTGGTACTGCCCAATTGAGCTTTCTTCCCTGTCGGATGTCCCTGGTTTTGATTCGACATTCTCTATGCACATGCCCATTGTTTCCACAATAGTGGCATCTAGGTCCGTTTCGCCGATTGCTGCTGTTGCCTTGTTGATATCCCCTGTTATTATTGTTGTTCGTGTTGGTTGGAAAAGTCTTCAACTCTGCCACTTGAACTTTCAATGCCGCAATTTCTTCCAAGAGCGCGTCATTGACTTCTGCACTGTGAGACGGTTGGACACTAGCCCTCATTGCATAGAAACAATTATTGGCGAATTGAATGGCTTGGGCCATGGTTCCTGGTGCTTGCTGCATTACTGGAGTTCTTATCGCTGGCAGTAGTCCATGGACGAATTGATTTACTTTCATCCATTCTGGCATAACCGCTGGGTCACCACATTCTAACCACATTTCTTGGAGCGCATTGAGGTAGTCATTCACTGACTCTGTTTTCCTTTGAGTACATGCGTAGGCCTGTTGGGACACTTGCGTTCTATTGCCATCAGTAGCATACTTGGCTAGGAATAGTTCCTTGAAACCGTCTCTTGCATTAGCTCTTCCCCACGTGGTAGGTTTATTGTCCATGGTCACATACCACATTTTCGCTGGTCCTAAATGTAAGGCTGCAATTCCGATTTTTCTAGGGTGAGCATCTGTGGGTAAATTATTGGCAATAAATGCCAATTCGAGCTCTGCAATCCATTTGCGAGGATTGGTGCCGTCAAAGGTAGGGTATGATGCTTGCGACATTTCTTCGCCTTGATATTGTTGCTGTTGTGGTGGTTGGAATGGGGCTGGATTAAACAGAGGTGGTGGTGGAGCTACTGGAGGAATTTGTTGAGGTACTACTGGAGGTGCTACTGGTGGATTTGGTAGATTTTGTGGTAAGTCTGGTGGTGGTGAAGGAAGTCTGTATGGTTGAGGATTAGGCTGATAGGCTGGTACGTCTGCTTGTGGATTCTAAGCGTTGAAGTATAGATTGTCGATATCCACTATTATGTTGTTTTCTTCGGTCTGTTCTAGGGCTTGTTCGAACTCTTCATCTGATTTTTCCTCGAATTCGTCCGATTGTAGGTCTACTTCGTCTTCTTTAGCGATACTAAAAACTTGATCGATATCTACTGGTGGTAAATTGTCACCAAAAGGCTGATCATTATCAAAGTCGTATCGATCCGCTGGTGTAAACCTATGTCCGGTTTGAGCTTGGTAGTCAGTCAAATAATCTTCTACGCTTTTTCGAAGGTTTTGTGTTTGTTCGTATGGAGTTACTGTTTGATCGTAGAGTGGTCCGAGAATTGGTGAGTCCGCAACTTGGGTTTTACTACTGGAAGCGATTACTCTTTGTTTTTGTTTGCCTTTTTCTTTTTGTCAGAATTTCTTTTCGTCTTCGAGTGTTTTATTTAGCAGAAAATCTTCAACCTTTTTAACGAACTTAGCAATATCTTCGTCTGAGGGAGGGGTGAAAGAGGTTGTTTCCAGGCGTTTCCAATTTTTCGTAATGAGGATATCTAGTAATTCTTCTGAGGATGAAGGTGGTTTGATGAAAGTCAGGGATTCAACAAAAACTTGTGCCGATCGTTCTGGATTTTTGCTATGGCAGTGATAATAAAAATTACCCGCGTCTTTCTGGGAATACCTAAATTCGTAGGGTCGGAGAATGATTCGGAGGGTGTCGAAATTTTCAATGTTCCTATGGTATCGATGACACCGGTTGCACGATTCTGACGGAAATTTCTTGAGTGCCGCGTCCTTATATGGATTTCCATCTGGGACTTCACGGTGTATATAGGAATGGCGAATATATGCTTTCCTGTTATCTAAAATTGCTAGTATGATTTTTCTGTCTGTGTATGCTGCCAGGATTACTGATTAATCTGTAGTATGTATTGTCGTGTTCTTTGGATTATAATAATCCACGGAATCCCCACCAACTGTCATGATGTTACACGTGGGAGAGCGATCGTGTAACCTCCTTGAGATTTAGCGTCTTCCAATGGCGTATCGGCAGTGCCTACTAATGCTAATTCTTCTAAACAGTTAGTGACCTTTTAACAGGCTTTCGAATACTTACGAATGTCTCATATTGTATACGCTAATCCGTAGATATTTATTTAACCTCAAGTATCTTAATCGACGATTATGATCCGATGGGATTAGATTCGGAAATCTGTCATTTGGGAAAGGTTTTCTAAGCTAATGCGTTTATAGACAATTAAATAAATATCCTGTATAAAACCGACAGTATGCAAACCTAGGGGCAAGACTAAGTTCGCAACAGAGAGTCCGGATAGCGGTTTCGCTAAACTCTCTGAACGGTGAATTCTTAAGAACCACAGGATTTTAACTGACACAAGGATGATTAAAATAATCAATCGTCAGAGTTTTATTAGAATATGAAGGACTATCCTAAGGACCGTTTGTATATTCGAATGATAAAGGAACAAAAGTAATAATAGATCCGTGGACAATCTTATAGCTGAAGATGATGAATGGTGAAGGAAAACGACGCGCTTAAATAACTATTCTTGTCTAACTCTAATGGCGGCGAAAACTGGATATATTGGGAAAGATTCGCTAATTAATAATGTTCTAATTTTACCAACGCCTGTTAGCCCGATATGGTCGAATTTGGCCGCCATTGCACAGATGGCCCAATATAGTTGATTTTGGCCGCCATTGCACAAGATCTGGACTCGTATTACATGGAAGATTTTATGCCGCAGGACTTGTCACAGAACTTAGAATTTGTGCAACTGAGCAGAAATCTCAGAGGAATACATAGACGTTAGAGCTTATCCATGACAATTGTAAATATGAATACGCGTATTGCTTATTACGAAATGATTAGTTATCCTAAATGCCACTCAGTTAATCATGGAACAAGATGAATGATTAACCTTGTCGTTATACGGTTTAAAGATTAGCAAATATAATGGTTATTCAAGAAAAAGAATTATGCGTTCAGAGTAAATGGATACTCGTTTATTGATAAGAAATGATAATATAAAATAAAAGG